TATGAGCCGTCTTCAGACGACATCAAGGTCGAAAACACGAGTTCCGACACTTTCGCTCAAATTCCAGACAGAAAGACAAGCTACATTCACGCTATGAACAGCGATATCCTGCTACAACGCAAGACCTTTGCTGATTTGGGCACCAAGAACGCGCAGAAGTCTCAGCTACAACTCGAAGTCAGACCAAGACCAAGAAGAAACGAGTACACTTCGAGGACGAAGTTCCTGAAGGAACGATCAATGCTGAGGCAACTGAGGCAGTCAACGAGAACTCGGACACACAAGAACAACGACCAAGTGCTGAGGTTCCAACGGCCGATGATATTGACTCGCCAGTGTCCAAGAAGAGCGAAGGCGCCGTATCGCCCAGGCCCAGGATGAGGAGCTGAGGTGGTCGAACCTGATAGCTATCCTGAGAGGTGAAACCACCGCGATGACTTAAAAAGAGGCTCGAGAAGCCTGGAAGTGGGCGGACAACATTGTGCTATCAAGTGACAATGTCATGTATTACGCGGGTGTGAGCAGATGAAAAAGTCGAAGAAAACTTGCCCGAGATGTCGTTGAGACTGGTGGTGCCAACCACAATGATCCAAGAAGTGCTACACAACTGTCATGAATCCATTGAAGAAGGACACCAAGGGGTCGTTCGCTCTTACCAAAGAGTGAAACACGACTACTACTATATCGGTCTCTACGCAAATGTAGAGAAACATGTGAAATCATGTCTCGACTGCAGCTCGAGTAAGAGTTTGCCGCAGCTCAAAGGCTACTCACCTGGCAATGTGCTCGCCGAGCGACCATTCCAGGTGGTGTCAATGGACTTTGTGATCCCTCTACCGAGATCTCGTCGAGGAAACACTGTCTTGTTGCTATGGCAGTGCTCGTTTACTGGGTTTGTGATCGCTAAAGCGATGTCCGACACCGATGCTCTGATTGTGGCCAAGGTGTTCGAGGAATGCATCTACAGACGTTTTGGTGCACCGTCTCTTATTCGACATGACCGAGACCCACGCTTCATGAGCGAGGTCTTTCAGGCATTCGCCGAGTTAATACAAGCAAGGTCAAGGTCAACGTTGAGCTATCGCCCACAAGCGAATGGGCAGCAAGAGCGGTCGGTCAAGACCGTGATGCAGTCTGTCAAGGTCTATGTGGAGGACCCGTTGCAGGAAGACTGGGATGAGATTGCTGAGCGACTAGTCTTTGCGATCAACAACTCTCATGATATGACCAGGAAAAAGACACCATTCTACTTGGTACATGGATGGGGTGCCCATACGACGTTACGAGCAACGACGACCTCGAGGTGTTGGTAAGCAGACTGAGG